ACTTGATCATTGTATGATATATATGTTTTAAGTGAGTTGATATTATTTAAGGAAATTGATCGATATATATTTTTTTTAAAAAAAATCTCCTCTTGACCATATCCACACTTGATCAAACATTATTTATAAAATTTATTATATTATTGTAAAGTTCATGATATGTGGGAATTAATGGGTTTTTTTTTATTTTTTATTTTATATATTAAGAAATCTAGTCACGTCATTTTTTAAAAAGAAATTAATGAATTGAGTTTTTTATTTTATATATTAAGAAATCTGGTCACGTCATTGTTTTATTGAATAATCCACATAATACGATGATGGATAAAGGTATATTAATATTAATTACTAAGGAGAAGTTTTTTTTTTTAAATACTATATTGAAATAGAGTTTTTGAATTAAGGGATATTTTGAAATTGAAATATCTATATATCTATTAATATAAAAATCTATATAAATATAAAAAAGTTTGACATTTACCTGAATAGTAGCTGAATTCCCGCCCAAATAATTCATTTTTACCTATATTAGTAACTTTTTAAATATTTTTTGAAAAATGGCGGTCAATTTGTTTAAATTCAAATTAAGAAATCAATGTAATTAATATACACAATCATTTTGGTTAGATATTATGCTATTACCTAATATGCATGACTTAAATTTAGTATATAATATATTAGCAGTTTATAACATATTTAGTATACAATATCTAATATATTGCGACAAAGAATGTTCCGTTTGCCGAGATTTGGTAGCTTGGTGTCAGCGGAAATATTATCACCCATCTTCAGCGTTTGGAAAGGGATTCTGTAGAGAAAGGGTATGAACTATGGGTTTTAAACGGACGGCTGAAGCTGCGGCTGCGGCTCGGAAACCTTGGAGGCGAGCGAAACTTGATGGCGGCTTGGCGGGTTGGTGACGTGTGGCAGCCGCTAGGCTCGGGTTGTACGTGGTTTGGTGACGAGTTGACTCGAGGTATGAGTGGCTAACCGGGACCGTCGGGCTTTGGCGGCGGACATTCGGGGTGCTGCTATCGAAGGTGGCACTTTGGTGAATGGCGTCGGGGTTATGCGGCTGGTTGTGGCTCTATAAGAGGCAGTGTGCTTGGGATCGAGTGATGGCCGGCGGCCAGGGGGTTCCGACGATGCGACCGGTGGTCCTAAACAAGGGTTGCTTCCAAAACAATTTAGGCAGCGGGTTTTACAGGCTATTTTTTGATAGGCTTGGATTGCTAATGGGATTATGTCTTACAATTACATCAAAATTGATTGTGTGTTGAACTGATTTGGGTATATGTTGATTGTTCAATGAATCTGTTGCTTTTCGTGCATTAAAAAAAAGTATGAACTGTAGGTTTTTTTTTTTTTTTTGGTTCGATTGTTTAAGAATGAAAAATATTTTCCTTACTCAAAATGGAAGAAAATGTTATCAAGACAAAAGAGTATGATATATTTACTCAAATTGTAAGATTTTGGATTGATTCAATTGAAAAAAATATAACTCCTATCCTAATTTTAAAATAGAAAATTCATTTTAAAACATTTATAGTATTTATTGTTATTAATTTTGAAAAAACAAATATTTTTAAAGTATTTATAATATATATTAATATATTAAAAAGTTTGTATTTACCTGAAAAATAATTAAAATCTCGCCTAAAAAATTTAAAAGTTAATAATCTTGATAATTTTGTTTACTTTTTTTTCATTTGAAAAGGCAGGTTTTTTTTTTCTTTTGAAAAACCCTGCCTTTGCATTGTTAAATTCGAATTTCAACATACTTTAAAATTAAATTATGGTAAATTTCAATTATGGTAATTGCGGCTGAATAATTAAGGAAATAATAAATGCATAAAAAAATTAGTTTTTAGATCCCTTAAGTACTCAAATAGTAAAATTTATGTTATCTTTTAAAAATCAGTTATGGTAATTGTGGTTGAATAATTGAAGAACTAATAAGCACATCAAAAATTATTTTTTAAGATCCCTAAACTACTCAAATTGTGCTCTGAATTAAACAAATAGTTAACCCATAATATTATTCCAGTTAATTGCTATTGAAATTAAAATTCATTAAGTTATGTTTGATGATTAGATTGTGATTATATAATATCACCAAAACAGTAAATTGATTTCATTTGTTTATGTTTAAAAATTAAATGCAAGGCTACATAAATAATTGATTTACTTTAAATAAGGTTTGTATTTACCTGAAAAAAAACTAAAATCCCGCCTAAATTTTTAAAAGTTACTAATCTTGATAACTTTTTTTCGCATTTAAAAAAAAACATATAACAAATTCATTTTTTAGATCCCTTCACTACTCCAAGCGCACAATTTATGGTGTCTTTTAAAAATCAACTATGGTAGTTGCGGCTGAATAATTAAAGAACTAATAAATAAGCACATAAAAAACTATTTTTTATGAACCCTTAACTATTCAAATCGTGGCTCTTAATTAAGCAAATAGTTAACCCATAATATTATTACAATCTTTATATATATAAAAAGGTTTGTATTTTTCTAAAATATTAATTGAAATCCCGCAAAAAGTTCAATTATACCTTTAGTAGTAAGTTTTTTTTTTTAAATATTTATTAGTTGCATAAATTTAGTATATTGACAAAATTTGCTCCTATTACCATTATTAATTGCATGATTTAAATTTGGTATAAAAATATATTAGAAAAAATATTTAAAATTAGTAATCAAATAAACAACTATTCATAACTTACGGGTCAATATTTATTTATAGTTTAATAAGTTACTCGACTACTTAAATTTTTTAATTTAGATAGTTTATACAAAAATAAATTCATTTTAATTAATGGAACAATATAATTTTATATTTATACTTATTATTCACATACATTTTTAAATATATGATCAAATTTTATCAAAATAATTATTTTATGGAATCACATTATAGTCAAACTGAATTTCTGAATAAAATTTTTTAAATCACACTTATTTTGAAATGAATATAATATAATTTACCATCAGGTATGTGAATCGCACGAGTTGTGTACTAATTTTAAATAGACATTTTTATATAATTTTTCACAAATTAAATTTATATATAACATTTTTAGTAAATTAATATAGGTAAATTGTATTACATATTAATTTCATATTTTTAATTTGTAAATATTATTTAATGAAAATTTTTAATTTGTAAATATTAATGAATATCTTCTACTGCACGGGATTCATACTTGTATATTAAGCATTTACTAAAAAGTAGTATTTAAAAAAACTTAATCTAAAAAATAAAGTTCTTAATAAAGAAAAATTGTTATCCTTTTTATTAATTGTATACTTTTCTCGGTTTTAACACTTTGATCCATCCATTCCTCTCCCATAGAGGCTTTTACCCGCTCGTAGACTGATATATTACTTTAAAATGAATATAATGTAATTTATTATTTGTTACGTGCACCGCATTGGTTGTGTATTAATTCTAAATAGAAATAATTTATATAATTTTACATAATTTAAATTTCATATAACATTTTCAATAAATTATGTATTACATATTAATTTTATATTATTAATTTTACATATTATTTAACGAACAATTTTAATTTATAAATATTAATAAATATCTCTTGCACGTGAATCGCACGGGATTCGTACTATTTGTAAATTAAATAAATACATGATAAGAAATGTGAAGTCCAAATAGACTCAATATATATATATATATGTCAGAATTAGAAGACCGCTTGTTTACATTTTCTACAGTAAATATCTCACTCAAAACTCAAATTTAACTCAACTTTAACTCAACCATTATCTCCAATATCACCAATATAATCAAATAATATCAACCAATCATTATTATACATCACATCAACTTTAATTCACTATTCATCCACTCACATAATTTTAACTAATCATCACTTTCAATCATTTTCTCCTACTTTTACATCAAATCAACTTTAATTATTGTAATTTAAATATTATTTTAATATATCAACTAACAACTAATCATACTACTTTTCTTCAAACTTAACAATAGTTAAAAATAAACTAGTTTTTTTACTAGTTGAATTCATATCCAATCACCTCTTACTCACTATGAACACTTTCATGGATGATCAATTATAATAGTTTGTGTAGTTTACTCTAAGTCAAGTCAACCCGATCGAGGGTACATTGGCTAATAATTCCACAATTATTCCACAAAGGACTAAACACGCATTCAAGTATTTCACGATCACATCTCCTTCATGGGAAATTTAACATTTAAATTTTGGTAAAGACTATGAGTATCACTAATTAACAAACTCTTTCATAGATGTTGAAATGAGTGAACCAAAAACTCATTCCTTAGTTTCTGTAACAATGGGTACTGGGTGTCAAAAATATTAATACACCTGTTAATCATAAGTTCAGTAAATAATTTCTGACTAAAAACATAAAATTAAAGTTACACTAAAGTAAAGCTTATTTAGACTAAAGTGCTTATTCAACATTACA